TGGCTAGGTTCGGCACCGTTCCTTCTCTCCCCACCCCCCCCGATGTCAGGTTCAGGCAACAAGCCAGTTGGTCAATTCCTGTCACAACCAACAAATCAACTTTCGGTGATCCGAAAAGCAGACCCTGCCCATGCAGGAAAAATGCTAGAAACAAAAAAAAAAAAGTTTTTCCAACGATACAGAAGGATGGCAGAGCTTAGGACTTTTAAAAGCAAAATAGAGAAAGTATGTTAATAATAAATAAATGACTAATGTAATAGACATTAAATCCAACTATTGTTGAGCAATGAAGAAGAAATAATGCCTTCACAAGGAGAAGGAAAGTATCTTCCTTTTAGTGACTGTAAAAGGAGTTCAGTAGTAGTAGTACTGCTATTTTTATTTTGGTCATCGACCGGATAAATCAACATTTAATGATAAAATTACAACCATCCCATTGTGTTAGTAGTTTAGTTTATATACAATGAGAAATGACTAAGTCACTGGCACAAAATAAAATTGTGGTGCCAATATAGTTTAAATTGTGAGGTTAAGATTATGAAGACAAGAATAAATATGCTGAAGTATAGATTTATATAATTTGGATGTTAATAAATAAAACTGTGGAATAACCACCAAAAATAATGAGGAATAGTTAACCAAAATGTAAAATTGCTATCTCACAAACAGCTACAAGAAAAACTATATTTAATACTGATACTGTAACTATAATGGTACGGTGTAAAATAAAGTGGTATATAGAAAGGAATGCCAATGACACTAGTAAGCTGAAGAATTAATAATAAGAAGTGGAATACAAATTTATGGGCATAATTTTTATCAGTCTGATGGCTATAGATAAGAGAATTACATTAGTGCAGTCATGGGCCGTACATAATAAAATAAAGCATCTAAACGATGTCATTTGTTGCTGACCACTTATGGGCAAAGTTTACATGTAACATAATAAAATTTTGCTACACTTAGAGAAGTAAAATTATCTTGATCATCTAATAAGGAGTATAAATAAAATTTATTAGAGGGCCCCAGAAATTTAGATTAAAGAAGGGTAATCAGCTGAAGGTGAATGTCCCTGTAAAACTGGCAATAAAGGCAGATATGGGTCATAGTTTCTATGGTACCCGTGCCCAAGAGGTCGTGCCATGCTTCCAAGGGAACTATTCTGCATTTCCCTCCAAAGCTGCTATGGGGAACACACTGAAAAAGGAGGTAATAGGAAGTAGAAGCATTCTGTCTGGAATTATAACTGGCATAGTTAATCCAGGAACCAGGAACCTTGGCTGCTGTCTCTCTTCCAGGCACAGTAAAGCAGGACAGAATATTATGAAACCTCTATCTCCCCCTACCACTAAAACCTTACTGGAAACATCAAGAAATTGATGAACTGCAGGGGGCATTGGGAGGGAAGGATTGGCTGGCACAGAAAGATTCAAGCGTACTGTCTTAGACCACACTTATTATTGCTGCAAATCCATCCACCCAATTCTCCTGGCAAATGGATTTAGAGAGCAGGTCCCAGGAATGTCTTGCCCAAGCCACTGTCTCTCAATTTCCATTCTGCAATATGGGCACAACAATATGCACGTGCTTCTGGCAGACTGTAAACACTGCTGAAATAATGACTGCATTCACATATAAAACAAAGACATAGAGGTTTTTGTTTGCTTTTGATACTTAACCTTACCATGAAGGGTTAACTTTATGTGCAAGGAGTCCATTCGATGAACCACATTTTCAAAACTCTAGCTTTGCATTACAAGAGAATACAGCCAATGTAATAGTATGGATTACTTTTTTATTATTATCCTGGGAAGGCAGTTTGGGATTCTCTTGTTTTTTAACTTTTTTATAATCTTACCTTTTCTGTCCATCTTTAGGCTCCTGAAGTAACTAATATATTCAACATATGATAGGTGTACCCTTAATAACCATTAAAGAATTTTTCTCCTTCCACTGAAATTCCCTCTTTTCTCCAACACACACATATCAACTCACCTTCACAGAAGTTTAAGCAATCTGTAGACTGGGGCCAGAAAGAGCAATTTTGCTCAAAACATTATTAAATCAGTAGAAAGCTTGTGCTCTCTCTTTTAAAGGTCTATGTCATATTTAATTTACATGGAATTATATTATTTGTTGAATGATTTGCACAGTATTGTTATTTCATTCTGTTTTAGAAGGGAAAGAGAGAAAGAGAGCTTGTCTAGATCTCCTCCTCTGGATGCACTCCTCAAAGCCACAAAACAGCTGGAGACACTCAAAGACTTTGCACAGCTCCACTGAAGCCCTTCAAGTTCTTCTTGGTCTGCACAGAGAGTTTTCTGGCAGAATACACAGCAACAGCTGATGGGATACCAAGCCATATGTGATAACCCCTTTGTCATAGAAAAAAAGAGCTGGGACCTTTACCTACTGCCTCCTTTGGAGTCCAATAACCAGAAGAATCACAGATTAGAGGAGAAGAGGCCTCATGTACATACTGGCTGAAAGTTCCATCTTCAGCACAATTTCCGCAGAGGTTCCCTGACTCTCTAAAAAACAGAGAAAGAAAGGGAGAGAGGGAAGAGAAATGAATGTGTTCACTCCCTTTTAACTCAGACTTTTCCCCCAGAATTCTGCCTAACTTCCTACTTACACTTTCCTGATATCCTAATACACAAGGTATGAGCAACCTACATATGTGCCAATACTGTCTCTTATCTTTTATTTGTTGGGATGCAGGCAACTTTATGGTAATCTCTAGATTAGAGGCCTTAATTTGCATGGACTAGCATGGAGCAAAACTGGCTTTAGTGGCACTTCTGTCATATTGACCAAATATGCCAAAACTGACTTGTCATTATGATTCAGAGGGAATGCTGAATGTGGCATAGGTAGACTGGTAAGCTAATCTACTCCTTCTCAGTCTTACTAAAAAGCATTATTTGAAAGACTCAACTGACAAAAGCCACAATTAGTGGCAGAGATAAACATGAATTGGCCTATCTGGTATTGACCATGGCATCCTGAAGATTGCAGCTTGAACTATGAGAGGAATAAATGGCAAAGAGCATGAACTATGTTCTGGGTTTCCTGTGTCTTAAGTCTCATAAGCCACCCAGAGTTACTTGTGTGAGATGAGCAGCTATATAAATCAAATAAATAAACAGGAAAAAAATGAAAGAAAGAATATATTGTGTATCTGTCAATCTAAGAGAAGAGATGTAATTTGAATATAGATCTGATTGAAGTTGATCTGATCACATGAAGTGGAATTAAAGAATACGTGCAGAGTAGTCAATGTCTAGGTTTAATTATGAATGAAAGAGCTAAAATGTATATCAGAAAGTGTGAATTGGTATCATTGAGGTTGTTACTGGGGTGCATCTGAAAGTAGGAATCCTTTGTTTGTTGACAGACGAAAGTTAAGAACCAGATAACAATTCTGAGAAAAACTGTGCAACATTCTGAATGAATAAGGTTTAGAGGCGAAATTATTCTAATATATAGCATTAATAGGTATATAGGAATGACATGATAGAGTACAGAAGTACAGAAAAAAAAAATGATTGGGCCACTTAGAGACTCAAGAATAAATGAGAACTGTGATTATTTCATATCAACTTATAAAAAGAGTTTGTTTCAAGCATGTTGTTTATGTTCATATGCACACATGGTATAGAAATCGAAAATAGTGATTGATATGTTTATGATGAAGAACTGAAAGAATTAGTGGATACAAAGGTAATGTGTAATGTGCAACAGGTCAATTTTTGGTAGGGATAAAAGAGGATCTTGGGGGAAAAAAGGAACATGTAAATAAAGAAGTAGAACAGTTACAGGAAGAAAAAGTACAAGTCCTATATGAAAAAGTGTTAGATTAATCTTCCAACACAATGTATAGAAAGTGAATGTAAGGAAAACAAACGTGGAAGCTACTTGGAACAGTGTGGAAAGAATTATGTTGCAAAGTGTCACAGAAGCATGTAGAGGTATGCTAATGGGACATACGGAAAATAATAATGTTTGGTGGAATGATGAAACAAAAGAGCTGTGAATGGAAAAATGCATATAAGAGAATGATTGCTATACAAATTAGGATCAGAGAAAGAAATTGCATCAAGTCTATAAAGACAAAAAGGTAATAGTTACCAGGAGCAAGGAGAGGTTAAGAAAGAGAAAACACAGCATGATTTTGATGGAAATAAAAATTGTTTTGGAATGGGTGAAGAGTGCTAAACAAGGAGCAATGAAAATAAAAGTGATAAAATCTTTTCAGATAAAATTCCACTGAGGGAATGCTGGGAGTGCATCTTAAATCTGTTTGGGAATGATAGTGATGTATCAGAAATGGAATTGAAATGAATGCTATAAATGTTAGTGTCAAAAAAATGAGAAGGAAGTCATCAATCCTGTTACAATGTGGAAAAAATGGTAAGAGTGATCGTGCAAATGGTCTAACTGGAGAAATATTAGAATACAGATTTGGTTTGCTTATGGAATGGTAGCACAAATTGTTTAACGGACATGTGGAGACTGCATTTGTACCTGACGATTGGAAGAACATTCCCATATAGAAAGAGAAAGATAGCAAGAATGCATGTAAAAACTTCTGGGAGATTAGTTTATTAAATATGATGAGAAAGATGTCTGGAAGAATTATAACTGAATTATAACTGAAAGGATACAAGTAGCAATAATAAACAACATTTGAGAAGTGGAGTGTGATTTTATGCTGGGCAGGAGGTACGCAGTGTGGTCTTTTTGGTCTTCAGTAGTCACTGTGAAACGTACAAATCTGAAAACAAACGTTCACTGTAATTCTGTGGGTTTAGCGAAAGTACAGAATAAAATGTACTGGCAAGAATTATGGAATGTTCTGCATGAATGTGAAAGCGAAAACCTATTGCTGAGTGTGATAAAAGAGATGTTACATGATGGAAGTAAAGCACGTGTGAAAATAAATGGAATGCTTAGTGAACGGTTCAGCAATAAGCAGGGATTAAGACAAGGAAGTGTGATGTCCTCTTGGTTTTTTAATATCTTTGTGGGAAATTTATAATAAATGTTTGTGGCACCCTTAGAAGCGTGATAGGCAGGGGTGTGAATACATGTGCAGTTTTGAATGCAGTTGATGTGCTGTTGGCAGAGAACCTGAATGATCTGCAGTAAATGTTAAATACCTTACATAATCAACAATAATTTATGTTTCACTGGGAACTGGGCAGTGTAGAAGTTAAACAAATAAATAAGTAAATGTGAATGCAGTAGGAATGGGGTACTTAAGAAGTGTATGTGGCAAAACAAAAGCCTCAATGTTTTGAGATTCTCAAAAAAGCAAGAACTTCAAAAACCTGTTGAGATCTTCAAAAACAAGAGTAGGATGTTTAAAAACCAACAGGCCATCTTTTAAGTGGCACATGGAACGGTGGAAACAAGGTTGCTTTACAAGGAGAAGAACGTATGGAAAGGTGTTAATAGTGATGGTGTTGGTGTAAACTAGTGTTAGCTCTTTTTCTTTTCCTTAGTTCACACCTTTAAATTACTTGGCTCTCATCCTTCTTCTGTGCTCTGCATAATTTTGCTTACCCCAAAAGAGGTAGCATGTAGGTATATATGTACTGAGTGTGACATGGCAGGAAGGCTGAAAACCCAAACAAATTCACCCTATTTTTTTACAGAAAGGTTCCTGTTTCTCTTGCTCTGCTGCCACCTATTGCATATATCAATACATGCATATTGATCAAAGTTCAATAGGAAAGGAAATCTATGCAACCAGAGAGCTTCCCCTTTCACCCAAGCAGACACACGCACTCTCAAACTTTCAAAGCACTGAAGAAATACTCCCTGGCTTAGTTAAACCAGCAAGTAAAACGCTTGCCACTCCTTGGGCTGAAGAATGTTCAGGGGAGTTCAGACATGTTGGCTTTCTGTTCACATGTAGTCTGTGATTTACATTTTCCTTGAACATAATCCAAATGCACTAGCATAATATTACCATTTTTCCTAGAAAAACAGCCAACAAAGAACTTTAATGGCTGTTAGAAGCAAAAGCTAGTCATCAATGCTAGAACTTTATGGCTATTTATCCAGCCTTTTCATTAATTAAAACGAGGTCTGCTTCGGACTTCCGGGGAAGCAATGATGGACTGCTACGGCAGAAAGAGGAACCAGTCAATGGATCGGCTCCTCGGGACCCCTCTCCAGATTAAGGAGAGGACTTGGATCACCCATAAGTTTGCTTCATACAGAGGCTCCCCATGAAGTGATCATAGGATAGCAATCTCCGGTGGGTTTGAGAGCTCTGGGAGCTGGGGGAAAATCATCTTGCCTAAACAGCAGTTCAGTGCCTTCAAAAGGACATTGAGTTTGCCCACTTCCTCTCTTAATTATTTTAAGAAATTGCTTGTTATTGATCTTTCAGATGTTAAGAACCTTCTGAAGGGCAAGTTTCATTATGCTGGGAGAGCTTTCTTCTATCCTGGATGAAAGCAGTTTCATGCAAGTTTAAGGACTAAAAACAAAAGTTTTAATTTTTGGAAAACAGCAAAAGAGGGACTAGAATGTTGATTTTGGAAAGTTAAGGGACCAGACAGACTTAAAAGAATATTTTCTGTGGTTTGTTTAAAATTTTATAAAAGTATATACAAAGATTTTGAAATTAACTGTAAGAAATCCTCCCATGGGAAAGTTTTGTTAATTGGAAAATAAACATATGATAAGAAGGAACATTGAAGGTTGACTAGAGGGAACCAGAGAGGACTAAGGATTACAATTAAAGGAGAAGAGACCTATTAATACAATGGAGCAATATTATCTGTCTATAGAAGAAATTAAGGCTGCCTGGGAACAATGTATTCAGAAATTACTTTCAAGACTGTCTGCCACTATAAAAATGGAATAACAGAGGCTACAGAAGAGGAACACATTTTACTGGACAAAACAGAGACTGAGCCTGACTTGAATTGGATTTGAAAATGGATTTTAAAAAAATGCCAGACTACAGGAGTGATAAGAAAAAAGATAATGTGGATTTGAAAACAGATTTTAAAATGCCAGAATATAAGAGTTATATGGAAAAAGATGCCACAATGGATTTACAAATGAAACTGGCCAATGTTTTAATTACTAAAGGGGACATACAAATAATGAATCAGAAGAGTGACTTGGATAGCCTTCTTATCTTGGATTTACAAAAGGGACATGTTAAACTACTGAAGCTGTTCCTGAGAGGAAACAAAGAGAAAATGATAAGAAATCCACTTGTGGGATATTATTTGAAGGGATTAAAGATCAAGCTTTTAAAAAGTAAACAGAATGAATACAAAGTAAATTTATTTGACCAGGGTTAAAATATAGATGTTGTGGTTTCTGGTAACTATGAATGGAATTTCTTTTTGACCAGGACTGAATGGCGAGCTATAAATGGGGATAGATTTCTTTTGCTTTATTCCTCAGAGAAAGTGATAAGTTGGAATATCAGATGGATTTATTTGATTAAGGTTAAAATATATTTGTTATTATTTCTGGTGGCTCTTAATGGACTTTTGCT